CTCGTCTATCGGCCCGGATGCGATATCTTCGCTAGCGCCTCTGGGGCCGCTGCGAAGCACTGTAACTATCTGAGAGCTTGCGCTCCGCGACGCTCGATGCTTCGCGATCATATCTTCTCTACTCTCCGCGCTATTGTCTTCACGATGTCGTAGATGCGGGTCGCTCCGCTGACGCGCGAGCGGCTCTAGCGTAGATCTGCTCTCTCTCTAACCTCTATTTGTCAAGAATGCTATATCGTTCCCTGGCCTAGACTATCAGCTGCTGCTATCAGGATTATCTTATCCGCCTCTACGCGCTATCTTCTCTTCCGCTACTATCTATCTTAGCTATTCGTATGATGCGTCTAATCCTCTGAGCCGCTCTGGAGCTGCCGATAGCAATAGTCTTCTCGCCTCCTACTGCTGCTATGCTTCTCTAATTCCACAGCTTCTCTCGCTGTAGCCTATCTATCTTCTCTAGCTAGATGCTTGTCCTCCGCTACCTCTGGTGCGAGTGCTTCTCGATCGGATATCTTCGGCTCGCCGCGCCGCTCTAATCTTCGAGCTATTCTAGTAGCTTCTCTCCTCTACCCTGGCCGGAGCTTGCTCTATGCTGAGAGCGTTCTTCGCCTCTCTCTCTATCTGCGCCTTAGGCGATAGCTGGCTCGCCGCGCGTTACTATCAGCGTGTCCGCGTGCCGAGTGTGCTGCTTCCGCGTCTCGCTAGCGTCGACGAATCTAGAGTCGTCTCGCCGGCGTAGCTCTGCGATCCGCGTTGAGTGTGGAGCGCGTCCCGTACGCTGTCGATCGTCGCTACGAGTTCTGCGCTTAGTAGAGAGCGGTCTCTCCTCCTACGCGCGATCTTCGAGCTATATGCTTCGCTCCGCGACTCAGCGTGCGGCGCGAGCGGTAGTAGCGTCCTGCTCTATCCTCGTGAGCTGCTCGAGCGAAGTGAGCGGCAGCGTGCTCAGAGCCGAGACCGCCGCTACTCGCTGATCTTCTCTAGTCTTGCTGATAGCTTCGCGGCCGCGCTACGCTTCTTGAGGCTTCGCTAGCGAAGTAAGCGTCTCGCCTCTACTTACTAGCGAGCTTTGCTCGATCGAGTATCGAGCTCTCCGTCGAATCTCGAGCGGTGCTCGAGCGAGATGCTGGCTCTCCTCGTACGCTCTATGTCTTCTCGAGCCGATATGCTGCTCGCGCGCTACGTATGCTATCTTCGGTCGTTAGGCGAATTGGCGTCGTCTATCTAGTGATCTTGCTCCTCCTCTACGCTCGAGCGTCTCTATCTATATGCGTCTCTATCAATATCTTCTCCGCCGCTACTATCTATCTTCGCGTCCGTAGAGCTGCTCTAGGCGATTATCGTTTCGCGCCTCGGGCCGTAGCTATTCTGGATCTGTCTCGCTATTCGATAGCGTCGCGATCGATATCTTATCTCACTCGGGACTGCCTGCTATGCTGTGCTCTATCCATATTAGCTCGCTATCCTATATGCTGGTCTTCTTCGCCTCCACGCGACGTAATCTGCCGATCTGATATTTCGGTCGCGCCTTCGAAGCTGCTGATCTTGGCTCTATGTCTATGATCTTGCTCTCCCTCGACTATTGCTATCGTCACTTATCTTAGGATCCTTTTCGGCCCTCTGGTAACTGCGCTAGCACTGGGTACCGTCGTGATCTATGATCTGTGCGTCTCGTCCCTCTACTCTCTATCGTCCTATCTTAATCTGTCATCTGCCAGAAAGCTATCGTGCGCGATCCGAGATGCGTCGGCGGATCTAGAGCTGGTCTCTGCCGCGACGCGTCGAGTCTTGCTGCTATCTGAGTATCTTCTCTGGCGCTCTAACTGATGCTAGCTTTCTGCGATCTGATGATTTCTTCTGATCTGCGCTCGACTCGCCGATCATTCTCTAGTCTATATCGGCTCTATCGATAGCTTTCGGGGTGTTGTGTTGGCTGCCTCCTTAGGCGGGCTCGATCTTTGCTCTATCTATAGCTTCTCTCCTCGACTTACTCTATGTGCGCCTATCTAATCTTGCTATGCCTGCCTCTACTCTCAGTAGCTTTCTCTATCATATGTTTGAGGTCGTGCGTGAATCCTCACGTCTCCTCCCCTATGCTCGCTAGCTATATCGGCGCTATCTATATCGGGTCCCCCGCTTTACTCTCTATCTTCCGCTATCTATATATCTGTCGCTTCCCTTATACTCTAGATGCTGGATGCTGGTGCTCGTATCTGGATATCGTCGCTCGACTCTTTTGTAGCTAGAGCGACCTGGCGGCGCCTGCCGACCGGGGGTCTATCTACTCGATCGTATATGCCGGCCTGCCCTGACCCAGCTGGCAACCGGGGACGATTCTCGTATGTTCGATAGTCGGTCTGTCTAGTCTATAGTTGGGGGCATCTCTCTGCTCTCCTCGACTGGCTCGGTTCTGCTAGCTTGTGTCCTGTCTCTGTATGAGATAAGTGGGGATAATGGGGAGAGGGGGTTGTAGTGGGGGAAGGGGTAATTGGGGGTGTGTAGTGACGCATGGCGGATCTACGATCGTCTCTTCCGCGACTTCTAGTACTGGCTCTTGCTAGATTCTTGCGCCGCGCGCTACTAGCTATTCTGCGCTGGTCTCATCTATATCTTCTTCTTTATGCGATATCTCTCGGCTCCTGGTCCTCTCGCCTCGGACGGCTCTATCGGCTCTAGCTAGATCTGCGCTATGCTATATGCGTCCTCCTCTAGCTACCGATCTTCTCTAGTCTATGATCTGCTCTAGCTAGAGGCTTCGTCTCCGCGAACTCGCGTATGCGGCTCGCGTTGTTGTTTCGATCCTCGCTATCTGTCTCTGATCTAATCGGCTCTAGCGAGGAGGCGTCTCGCCGCGGACTATGCTTTATCTTGCTCTAGTCATTTCTGCTCGAGCTAGTATCTGCTCTTCCGCTACCTCGTGAATCTTCTCCGTGATCTATGAGCGTGCTCCGGGCGCGTACGAGCTGTATCGTTCCTATCGTATATCTTCTCGTGCCTCTACTTCGCTAATCTTCCTATCTAGAGCATATCTCGTATTCTATAGTCTGCGCGCCTGCGACTCTCGATCTTCTTTTCCTTCTAGCGGAGTATCTTGGGCTTCGTTCCTCTACCGTCTAGCTTCTCTATCTTTATTTCTTGCTCTCCGCTGACGCTCCGAGCCTGCTTATCGCTCCCGCTATATCTTCTCGCCTCAATCTCTGTATCGTTCTCTATGCGATGTAGCTTCTCGTTCTAGCGATTATCTTCTTCTCACACGGACTCTCGATCGTCTCCTATCATCTATGATCTTCTCGTCCAGATACTTATCTATTCTTCTCTATCTATAGCGTTCGCTATCTTAGATCTACTCTCCTCCACTCTCTATCTTCGCGGGGAGGGGGGGGGTGGAGAGCGACCGCCTCGCACTCTCGTATCGGGCTCGAGCTGATATAGTGCTTCTCCCAACCTCAACGCTACCGATCGCGATCTAAAGCTTCCTCGATCTATATCTGATCTCCTCTATCGTCGTGCTGATGTCGTCTCGATTTTCTAATATGCGTCTCTCTCCTGATTATTCTGCGCTCCGTCTACGCCGGATGTGCGGCTCGATCTAGTTCTGCTCGCCTCGACTATCTATCGTCGCTATTCTATACTTCTCTATCTTATATCGTCTCTACCGGCTACTCGTCTAATCTTCGCGATCGTATATGTCGTCGCAGCGATATCTGCGCTGCCGCGACGCGCGAAGCTTCTGCTGAGTTTGATCTTCTCATCTGATAGGCGTCCCGTCCTCCTACTCTCCGTCTATCGTCTCGTATCTTAGATCTTCGGCGTAGCTGATAGCTTCGCTCCTGCTACGAGTCAGCTCTTCTCGGATCGATAGTCTTCTCGTATCATATCGTCGCGCCTCTACTATCGAGCTGCGCTCTATTGTGCTATGAGCTGCTGTCTCTAGCTGATATCGGTCTCTCCTCTACTATCATCGGTCTTCTATCTAGAGCGTGGCGCTATCGATATCGTCGCGTCCGCGTCTAGTCGATCTTCGCGATCTAATATCGTCGCTATGCTATATCTTCTGCTCCTCACTATCTATCGTCTCTATTCTATATGTCGGTCTTCGAGACGAGTGATCGTGTGGCTCTCCGTCTACTATCTATAGGCTTCGTCTATATGGATATCGTTTCTGCGATCTATATCTGTTCTCTCCTCGACTATCCATCTTCGCTAGGCTTGTTCTCTCTCCTCGACTAACGATGCTTCTCATCGTAGATCTTACTCTATACGATGACGCTGCGCTCCTCGGACTATCTATCCTTCTGCTATCGATATCTGCTCGTGCGATATCGTTCGCGTCCCTGACCGAGAGCGTATCGTCTTCGTATGCTAGAGCGGATTCATCGATATTCTGTTATTCCCTCACTATCTGATCTCTCTATGCAGATATCTGGGCTCGCCGCTACTATCTGATCTTCTCTATCTATTATTCTGCGCGTTCTTTATCTGTCTCGCCTGCGTTCTATCATGCTTCTCTTATTCGTGTATAGCTTCTCCCCTCTGGTGCCGGGCTCGCTGTCGATCCGTGGCGATTCGATGTATCTTTCTATCGAATAGGTGCTCTTCAACGGGCCTGTCAACCGTCAGCGCCGCGATGCGTAGATGCGGGCCGCTCCTGCCCACTCGCTGCTCTGCTCACACAATCTCCTACCGCTATATTTCCTCGGCAGCCGCGGTGCGCCAGCGGCCCACCGCCTTCTCCCCTCACCACAAGTACTCCTCCTGCCCCCACACGCATCCCTCACCCTCCTCCCTAGTAGCACCGCGGCAAGCCAAGCGACTCGCGACCTCATATGTGCACCGCATGCCCGCCCGGGCGGGCCCGGGTGGCCCCACCCATCTCACGAATAAAGTGCCAGATCCGAAAGCCCCTGTCCGGGCGAGTGCCATACCGAGGAACTGCCACTAATTGTATCAAAACCCCCCCCCCTACCCCAACCCTGCAATATGGAAGACGAAGTACGGGGATGGTCGGAGGCGTGGGTAGCTACGGTATGGGGGGGTTGGGGGGGGGGGGTGGGGGGGGCAGGGGGGATGTGCGGCAACAAACGACCAATCACTCTCGGCCTTCGGGCGGGGCGTGCCTTCTTGATTCTTGTGCTGCGCCTAGGGGACTACTATTTGGGGTTCATGCCTGTGGCCTTGTGGGTGCTCGCGATTCCTCCTCCGGCTCCTTCTTCGCAGACGACTGCCTCTGCCTCGGCTCGCTGCTGGTGCTTCTGGATTCTCTATGTCCTCCTCCCGTGATCCCAGCCTCGCGCCCCCTGGCGCTTAGCCCGTCCCCACGACCCCTGGAGCGGTCGCCAGCTCCCCCTACCACCCGGTACTCCTCCAGGAGCGACCCGGTCGCCCCCACCTCACCTCTTGCCCACACCTCGCCCGACGACCGACCCCTCCCACGTCCTGCACCTCCCCACCTCCCGCCACCATTTGCCACCGCCGAATCGGGCCCCTGCCCCCGCGCTAAGTTTCCCCCACTGCTTCTATCTACTTCTACCCCCCTCTATCCTTATCCATCCCCCGCACCTGTAAATATATACCCGCCTGACGCCGGTACCGCCCCGTCTCCCCTTCCCCCCCTTCCCCTCCCTCCTCTTGCATCTATCTCCTAGCCTCCATCATCTCGTCCTCTGCTCTTCCTTCTTCCCTTTCTTTTCTCCCCTTCCTTTCCTTTCCCTTCCTCCTCCCTAAACCCTCCCCATCCTTTTCTTCTCTCCCCTTCCCCTCGTCCCCCTTCTCCTTCTCTCTCGCCTTCTCTCTTCCTCTGCCTTGCACTCTCTTCTCTCATCCTCCCTTTCCCCTACCCAGCTCCTTCCCCTTTTCTCCCCGTCCCCTTGCCTTCCCATCCTTCTCCTTCTCCCCTTGTCCTTCTCTGCTCCCCTTCCCCACCCCACAGCCCCACATTCCCATCCCCTCCTCCCCTTCCTTCGCCCTCACATTCCCTTGCCCCTCCCCCATAGTGCCCCTTCCCGTTCGCCTCTCCCCTAACAATCCCTTCCCCCTCCTCTTCTCCGCCTCCCTTTAACCTCGCCCTGCTTAAAACCACCTCCCCTCTCCTGTCCCCCTCCTGGGCCTCGCCCTTGCCCTCCCCCCCATGCCCCTCGCCCGTCCCCCCTTTGAAAGGCATTAACAACTTCTAAATTGCGATCATCAGTCATTCCTTCGTAAATCGAAGCCGGCCGACGATAAAAAGGGTTTAGGCAGGAACAAGGAATCGGCTTACCGCATATATTTCGAAACGGAGGCCTGGTCGTAAACCTTTCTTTTCCTTTTTTTTTTTTTTTCTTTTCGCTCTACTTTAATCTGTTAAACCGGCGAGGGAAATAGCATAAACACTATGACAGGGATTGACGAACCGCTGGTTGGAGGAGGAGGAGAGAGAGAGAGAGAGCGAAAATGAAAACATACTCAGTTGGGAACTTTATTTTCTTATTATCAAAATTTAACCGCATTTTTGGGGGTTGTCACTTATGGTTCGTGCCGTCATTGTTACGTATAAATTGGCTTTGTTGACGGTTTGTGTGCTATGTGAGAGCACGAAGTTATCCCAAAAACCAAAAGTATGGTAGAATCAGTATGGACGGGACTGACACACCAATCTTAATTCCTTGATATGCCTTGCAGCCTTTCACTGTTCACTTCTTATTTTCGAGGAGTCAATGCCAGGTGTCTAGAGACATAATGGAAAGTGATAAGAAAGGGCGTGATTGAGGAAGATAAAGCAGAGAAACAAAGAAAAACGAAAAACACAACGAAAATAGAAATAATTTCAAATCCCACTACCGCTCCCCCCCCCTGCCCCCTCCCCCCTCCCCCGTTCCGTTCCTAGCTTGCTCGATTCCCCAAATCTTTTCGAGTAACAGAGCTAGAATATCAATAAAGATGACAACTGTCGGGGAAAACGATATAAGGACTATTTTCCCTCGTATTTTTTGTTATTTTATTAAATTTAGTTTTTTTATTTTTTCTTTTTCCTTATTTAATTTTACAGTTTAAAAACCAAATTCAACTTCATTTACAGCATTCGAGATTTACGTTCAACACTAAGACGTAGATAAGACAAGACAGACAAAACGTTATATCGATTAAAAGCAAATAAATGATCACAAAAAAAAAACTATTTAGAGTAAAATAAAAACCACTTCTGGAATACTTGCTTCATTAACTTATCACTCTATCAATCACGTGGCCAGCCAAAACCAAAACCACCACAGTTGACACTACGAATACCCCAACGCTCGATTGTGCAGGCCCAGTACGCCAAGCAACCTTAGTATTTGAATATATTGAGTATTTAGTGAAGAGGTTATTGGATAAATGCCTCCCGCGCGAGAGTCAAGGATAACAGTTATTAAGAAAACTCATTAGGAAGATCATCCTGGGAATACAGCATGCGCGCGAACGGGGCAGAGGACCTGACTCCTGACCTTCTTTCCTCTCTTTGATGTTAGGTCTTTTCATTTCTTTTACTTTAATCTCTTCAATCTTCGCGTGCTCATACCCTCTGTTTCTTTCATTCACTTTCTCTCTCTCTCACTCTCTCTCCACTCTTCTCTCTCTCTCTCCTCTCACTCCTCACCTCGTCGTCTCTCTCTCATCTTTCTCTCTCTCCCTCTCCTCGTCCTTCTCCTCTCTCTCTCGGCAGTCTTTCCTCTCACTCTCTCTCCATCTCTCTCCTCCTCTCTCTTTCTCTCTCTCTCACTCTCACTCCATCTTTCTGCTTTACTCCTCTCTCTGTTCTTCTGCCCCCCCCCCCTCTCTCACTCTCTCTCGCTCTCACTCCTCCTCATCTCTCTCTCTCTCTTTCTCCTCCTCTCCTCTTCCCTCTCCGTCCTCCTCTCTCTCTCTCTCTCTCGTCTCTCCCTCTCTGCTCTCACTCTCTCGCCTCTCTCTCTCTCGTCTCTTTCTTCCTCTCTCTCTCTCTCGTCTCTTCTCGCTCTCTCTCTCGCTCTTCTCTCTCTTCTCTCTCTCTCTTCTCCTCACTCTCTCTCGTCTTTCTCTCCCCCCCCCTCTCTCTCTCTCTCTCTTCTCTCCTCTGCTCACTCTCTCTTCTCTCCGTCTCACTCTCCTCTTCTCTCTCTCTCTCTCGTCCTCTTCATCCTCCCCCTCTCTCTCTCTCGTCTCGTCCACTCTCTCTCTCACCTCTCTCACTCTCTCTCTTTCTCTCTTTCTCTCCCCCCCCCTCTCTCTCTTTCTCCCCCTCTCTCCCCCCCCCCTCTCTCTCACTTCACTCGTCTTCAGACCTCTCTCTCATCCCATCTCGTCAAAGCGTCCCGCTCTCCTCTCTCCTCTCTCTCTCTCTCTCTCTCTCTCTCTTTCTCTCCGCTCCTCTCTCTCTCTCCCTCTCCTCGCGTCTTCTCTTCTCATCTCTCTCTCGTCTCTCTCACTCTCTCTCTCTCATCTCCCTCTCTGTGTGTGTGTTATATATATATATTATTATATATAATATATATATATATATATATATATATATATATATTATATGTATCTATGTATGTATGTATGTATGTATGTATATATGTATACATATTTTTTTTCTCTTTTTTCTCTCTTCTTTTTTCCTCTTTTCTCTTTACTCCATTCTCTCTTTTTTCTCATTTTCTAACTCTCTTTTCTCTTATTCTATCTCTATTCTCTCTCTCTCTCTCACTATTTATTTATCTTTCTAATTCTCTATTTATCTATCTATCTACTTCTTTCTCCCTCCTTCCCTTCCCCCTCTCTCTCCCTCCCCTTCCTCTCGCTCTCCCTTTCTCTCTCTCCTCTCGCTCTCTCTCCGCTCATCTTCTCACTGTCTCTCCTCTCTCTCTCCCTCTCTCCTCTCGCCCTCCAATCACCTCTCATCTCTTCTCGGACCCCTTCTCTCTCTCCTCTCAGTCTCTCTCTCTCTCTCTCTCTCTCTCTCCCTTAACGCGAAGGAAAATGTTCAAAAGAAACTTCAACGAGAAAATGTAACTTTGCAGGGGAATTCCGAATCCGTCGCAGCCAAACAGCGCAAATTGAGTTTCACGTCAAAACACAGCACAAACAAACTTATGAGAAATTGCATAAAAGCAAAGAACTCTATTGGATTCTCAGAAGACGATGAAAGGGGGGGGGGGGTGAGGAGGAGAAGGGGAGGGGAGAAGGTGGAGTGAGGAGGAGAAGGGGGAGCGAGGAGGGAGGGGGGGATAATAGAAAAATATAATCTGAGGAAGATTAGCTTAATGCCGACTCGAGAATCTGACTGACGTTCTGTCTTTTAAGGGAATTTCCGATTAACTGCGAAGTGATTTCAATGTGTTTTGATGTGAACCGGATTTTTATTTTTTTTTTATATTTCTTTTTATTTTCATTTTTCTCCCCGCACACTCTCGAATAATACAATGAGGATTACGTTTCTAGTAAAAACCAAGCAGCAGTATGTAGTCAAAGAGCGTAAAGTTTTTTTTATTATCATAAGTAGAAGATGACGTAAGGTCATTATTGAGAGTGGCACTTTATATCCTAAAAAGATGAAATAGGCAAATTTGTAAGCGGCATGAGGTAGATGAACGGTTAACAGGTCGTCCACGTAGTAGACTAAACCTTGTACTAGGAAGACGGTACACGTAACTTAATGGTGGCTGTGTGCCGATTAAGTAATCAGGTATACCCGTATTTACACGTTGTACGGACACGAACGACGACTCCCCCCGTGGGGGCGGGGGCGACGTCGACCCGCGACTAAAGGTATCACGTGCCCGAGTCTACTACACGTCAACATGGTGTACGAACCTACCGCAGATGGTCCCTAAAATTGCTGGTTGATCGACCGCTTACAAATAGAACCGCACACCCCCATCCGAACCAGCCCCCCACAGTACCCTTTGTTTTTAGTATATAATAATATAAGTTTATAGATTTTATACTTAAAAAATTTCAGCCCAACACACGACGTATCCCCGACAACCCACGCCCACACCCTGCAGCGACAAGCAAACTGCAG